CGCCGCCCTCTCCGTGTACAGACTCCTCCTGACCTCAAGAGAAGGACCTTTCCTGTAAATATTTTTAAATATGAACAGATTTAAAATATATATTTTATGATTTAAAGAATAAATAGGGGTGGGAATTTAAAAAAAAAAGAAGAGAAATGTGAATAAGGATGGGTGGGAGGGATGGGGCTGTGAAAAATTGTACAGAGGAAGAATATTTATAAAATTGATTTTTTTAATTTAATTTCCATTCTTTTGTGCCATGTTTTCTGTTCTGAAATCATGAAAGTGACTTGATCTCCAAAGCATTTGGGGAACGTTGAGCCTTTTTGCCTTTTTTTTTTTAAGTCACCTTTTTACTTCTAAAGTATATGGAAATGTTTATTTATGTGAGGAAAGGAAGAAACAGGGCTTGTGGGAGGAGCAAGCTAAAGAAAAGAGGAAGATTATCCACAGAGGGGAAGAAAACCCCCTTCAGTAGAAGTATTTGTCTCATCTCCTCTCCGCCACTGGGGGCAAATGTGCCAAGAAATACCAGCCTTGGATGCTCCTGTTCTCCTGTGAGCTAAACACTTCCTAGCAGAACGTGTGTCCTGAGACCAACATTTTGGGCTTCCCCCTGCATTTGCTCAACATCAAACTGGAAGAGTTTCTGATGTGATGAAACCAAAGCTCCTGCAGCTTCTAGTAGTTGCTTCCCTGGGGGGCTTTAGTGCCCATCAAATGTCCGTTTCCTAGACTGATATGGTCATGTTATTATTTCAATGAGGAACGCTTCTTTGGTTTTTGGTAGTTGATATGTGTAGGAAATGGTATCTGCAGAGCTCAAAAGCAAAAATCTGTGCAACTCGGTTCAGCCAAGTGCTCATGCAACCTTACCGAAAACCCCTTGGGCTTCACTCTCGTTCAGAACACAGAAGAGAAACGTTTGCTTTGACTCCCCTCGTGCCCTAACAAAAGGGCTGGAGTATCGTGTAAATACGGTGCTGTGAATGCCTGCGCGAGGCATCTGAGGAGAGCTGTGAATGTGCAGAGCTGCACCTGTTCCTGCAGCTGCTGCACAGCAGATGTGCTGGGCCTTTGACAGCACTGATGTTGCTGACAACAAGGAAAACTTTCTTTTTGAACCTAAATTGTACTTGGTTTGGGTTTTTGTTTAGCAAGCCTTTTGAGAGCACTTCAGAGGAAGCCCGCAGCTCTAGGCCGCAGGTCTTCGTTCCTGGCAGTGGCCAAACTGCTCAACCCTGTGATGCAGTTTGGATTTCAGGTCTGTTCTGCAGGTCTGCTCCTTCTGCTGTCACTATCCCAGTGCAGGGTGCATCGTCACCGTGTGTTATTAAAACTCTTCAAGTTGCTTTTGTTACCTTCAGGCCTACGCTTTGTTGGTTCACTTCTGAGCCTGAGATTCAGCACAGAGATGCCTGCTGTTTTGCACGGAGAAAAATACAGTATTGGGAATACAGTACTGGGGTTTAAGAACAGATTGTCTTCCCCCATCCCCGTTGACCTAAGCTGTTCTGCAGGAGTGACAAGGTCCTAGTCTGTAAACCCCAGGGTGACTTGGTAGGTCTCTGAAAAAGTGTTGATTTGCTGAAATAAAAGAGCACTTTCTACATGATCGTGTTTCAGACAAGCAGATTACGAGTACTGACCCGTGGGATATTTTATGTATCACATCCGTCATATAAAGGAATGCTTGTTCTGCACTGCAGCAGTTGGTATATCCATATCCACACGTCCTGTTTAACTTCATGCTTGATAACTATTCACCAGTTATAATGAATTCATTATTTTATTCTCATGTTACAGTTATAGCTTAAAGAAATGGCACATTTATTTTCCTGTGTTCCTGTGATGACACTGGATGCAAAAGGACATTGTTTTTTTCCTTACATCACCGATCATGGTTACAATCTTAACCACTTTATCTGAATACCTATATCCTATACGAATTCGGAGCTGAGGCTAAGAAAACTAGCAGTGTTACTGAGAGTTAAGCTGTCTTGAAGGTTGAGCTCTTCTGGACCTTAGGTATTTATAAGGAAGGGAAGCCCTTGTAGCTGAACAGGATGAATTAAGTTGTGTAGTTTTTAACTTCATTTGGACTTGCAGAGCCTCTCGCTGCTGCCATTTCCTGAGAACTTACCTGCTTGCCTCACCTGCTGTGCAACCAGACACTGAGCCTCGCAGCACTGCCTGGGAATGGGGTGGGCTCCACGGGCTTTCAGAGGGCTGCAGCACTTCTGGTGCCAGAAAAGACCACGGATTTGAGTAGGAAGTGTCACTTTGCTCTCCAGAAATATACTCTGTGTGCTCCTGGCAGGGGTGGTTTGCATCCTGTGAACTTGCGGGCTAAAACTTAGAAACTGGATGCTATTTTCTTCTATATGAGGATGAGGGAGTGAGTTAGACTTACTGCATGTAAGGGACAAGTTCTGGCAATTCCATGTTGAATGGGAAGTACAATGGGGAAAAGTTATGTTTTGGTGGGTCTCACTCCTAGTTTTACTAGTTCCAAAGTGTGCTGTGAGAAAGCTGGTTGAAATTTTACACCAGTTCTTCCCTGCGTGTATTTGAATCATCTGTTGGAGCTTGCAAGTCCTTCAATTGGTTTATTCAAATATTTTCTGTGCTCATTGGGGCTGGATGTTTGCACTCAGAGCAGCTCAGAGCTGCGAATGAGGGGCAAAGCGTATGGCTGGTTCTGTGTTAGATGCAGGGGCCGGATTCCCGAGCCGCGAGCAGCCTACCTGCCTGGCCGCTCAGCGCCAAAGCTGCTGCTCTGGTCGTCGTCTCTTCCAGGGACTTGGTCCTTCCTGCCGGGCAGGGGTAGCAGCAGTAGGAAGCTGTAAGGAAAATGGGTCAGGATTGAGTCAGGATCTGGAGGAGGGAAGTGTCTCTGAACTTCAAGCAAAGCCCGGGATCACCTATAGCTTTACTTGGGCTCCGCTGGCTAACGGGCTCTGCACCCAGCAATTTGCAACATCGTTAAGAAATCTGTTGCTCTGCTGCTGGGTGACCCTGGGAAAAGGCCGCTAGCACCGTCTCTACTTACTGTCTCAACTCCCCTCTGTCTGGCAGCATCTCTGAAGAGCACTAAGGCAAAGATGAGGCTAAATTTGTTTATATGGGAGATGGCAGTGTTGTAGTCCCTAACACCCCAGGTCCAGAAATGAGCCTGTGCCCCTACAGCCAGGTTGAAAGAAGTCAGTTGCGTGGAGCTGTATTTTTTCTTTCTGAAACACAGGTTTGTTAGTTTATACACCTTGATCTCTGGCTTGCAGAGGAGGCAGGTGCTCCCCTGGGGCTCGGTCAAGTCAAGCTTCATATGGGTGGTGTGTTGTGTTTGCTGTCCTGGGCCTGGTCAGGAGCGGATCTCTTCTGAGGTCAGGCACGTTGCTGGGGACGCACTGAATCAGCGCAAACGGGCTGTGCTTGTAACTGTGCTACAAGTGATCTGTGTTACTGCCAGCAAATGAAAGCAGGAGGCAACTGCATTCCCAGGACTTAATAACACACCCGAGTGCCTGGCACGGAGGGAGTCCTTAGAATGAGAAATACCACTTCACAGTGCTAAGGGGCACTTCACAACTGCCCGTGCTTGCTGTGAGCCCCCGAGCCGGCAGTGTCAGTGTCATCTGCTCATGTCTGAATGACTTTTGAGCACGGTGCTGGCCAGGAGCTTGACTGGCCCCCACCAGCCTCAGTTAAGTGTGAGGAAAAAAAAAAAAAAAAAACTTTCTTTAGCCAAACAGCTCAAGGTATTTACCACGTGTCCAACGGAATATTAATATACATCACTGTTTTTAGGCCTGTCTTGTCTCCTGGCTTTGCTGCCTGAAACAGCCACTAAAGACTTTGTACTTTAAAAAACCTGGCCTTTACAAACTCCCTCTTTAAAGTTGCTTATTTTACCACTCTGTGGACCCTTCCACGGAAGATCATGCTCCCTGTGGGGAGAAAGGAGGAATCGGAATTAAGTGGACATTAAACCTGAGGGAAATGAGGCCGATGCAAACAGCTCGCGCTCCTGCCTGACGGAAGATCTCCCTGGTAAGTCCCAAATGGGGCCTTTGGCAGTGGCAAAGCCAAAAGAGAAGATGCCTGGAATGAGTCACGAGAGGAGGGAAGCGCATTTGAGAGCTGCAGCAGCTGATGGCCCCATCCACCTGCGTTCACGTCCTGGGAAAGCAAATGCTCCCCCCGAGGCACCTTTCTCCGGGCAGGGAGCGACGCTCCTCCCGCGCAGCACAGAGGAGGGCTGGGGGCGTCGCAAGCTGAGCCCTACCCCAGCCTGCTTGCCTTCTTACCGAGATGTATCGCCATTGCTGCTATTATAAATGTATTTACCCATTACTGAGAAGTTTTATGATAAAAAAAGAAATGATCTTTTATATTTATACAAAAGAGTGTATCCCGCAAACAGCCTAATTATTACAGCTTTATATGTGTAGCATTTTGTAGAATTTGTCATTGCGCGAGGCAACCAAATCCAAAACTTAAGTGCCTTGAATATCCTAAAAGCTTGGGGATAGAAAGAAAAGCCTTAAACCACAGGTGCCTCTAGAGGCAGACACTGACTGTACTCTGGTTTTAGCTGGGATTTCTCTTGCCCTTAGGCTCTCTTCATTTAAAACACATTTGTGAGTCGTGGCACTAACTGAACACTGGTAACTTCTGAACTTTTTTAGAGCATCTACATCCCGAGTTTGCCATATGGTGAAGTAATGCTTTACTCCCTGTGAGTTTTGAGTTCTATATCCGTATCGCTTTCCACAACTCACTATCCATTCACAAAGCACTGCACTAAAAGCAAATGCCAGCAACTCATAGTGTGTATCTGGGGATTAAACTGATGTTATTTTCCAACTGTCACTATAGTGTTTCTCACTGAAGCTGTAAGAATTTTGTGCTCTTATAGAAAGTCTTTACCAATTATTTTTCAAAGCATGGTTTTCTGGCATCCAAGTGAATGGTGGGAAACTGGCTGATGACAAAATAGTTCAAGGGTTTCACTTAATTTTCAGGCCTTGAAATTGCATCTTTGAGTTAACAAAACCCAAATCTTGTCTGAAGTAACTGTACTTTTGTATAAATGTAAAGTTAACAAACGCTGCATTTGTACTGTACATTCTGTGAATTTTGTTTTATAATAAATATTTTTGAAAGATTTGATGAGCAGCCTTTTTCACGAGTGATGCTGTTCCATCACCTGCAGCAGCAGCGAGTCCCACGTTGTGGCTGTTCTGGACACTGGGATAAAGGCAGTGTTGCCATCTCCTTACTTAGATTTTTTCAGATGTCCAGGATCCCCTCTCCAACTCCAGCTGGGCAGCACTGCTTGGTATCCGTGGGCCCTGGAGCAGTCGTGTGACAAACTCCCTTCCATAGGGACGTGTGCCATGGCTCGGATTAAGGGGACATTACTGTTTCAGGAAGAAAACAGGAGGGGTCTGGACTTATCAAGGAGGCTGTGCACAGCCTGGAGCAGGTCATCCATCCATCATGCTGTTGGATGGAGATGTCACCTCGAGGAACAGCCAGCTTTCCTGTAGAGCGGGAGTCTCCTCTCCTTAGCGAGCTGCTATGTGCTCCATGCTAGCAGCAGGCAGATTTGATCACATGTGAGCTGGGAGATCCCTCACATGCATCTTTTTCCGCATGGAATTTGAACACATTCCCAGGGGTTTCGGATAGGCACTCAGGAAACCTGTTATTTTTTACACAGCCAGGAAGGGAATCGCACACAATCCCTGTGACTCCGATGCTGCAGAGACAGATAGATCTGGGGGATGAAACCCTCCCTGGGACTAGGAGTCATTACAGTAACTTCAGAGAGACGGAGAATTTAACTTAGGTTTGGGGAAGGAACATGCCAAGTTGGGCATGGGACAGGCAAAACTAGGGCAAGGGCTGCTGTCAATGGGACAGCATCTTTCCCATTTGCCCAAAGATTTTTTTTCCTCTGAAGATGAGTGAGAGTCATTTTAAAATAAACTTTCACTTCCTTCCTGCACTGTCAATCAAAATTGCCTGAAATGCTTTAAGCTGCTTCTTCTGGAGACGGATTTGTGATTTTCTGCAGGGGCGAGCCAGCAGGAGCAAACTCGTGTCCTCCAGTGGGGCCCAGAGCTTCCCCAGAGGCAGCTCCAGGGGGCCCTTGCTGAAATTTCCCATCTGGCTGGGAGTCCAGCAAGAGGTCAAGGGAGGGGATGAGCCGGCTCAGGAAACTCCTAAGGATGCAGCTCGCTGGATCTTGTGCTGAGAGGGAGGCATCCAGATTCAGAAAGAGCAATCCTGTGATCGAGAGGCTATCCCTGCAGCAAGCCACACGGTGGCACAGTTACCTGCCAGAAGCCTCCCTCGGCTGGGAGGCCCAGCGTGGAAGCAAGCACAAGGCACCAAACTTCGGTTGCTTATTGCCACTTCTCCACGCAAGGCACGCGCTGACACAGAGAGGGCACACAGGTACCCAGCGCCCTGTGGCTGCTCCCGCTCCTGCTCTTCTTCCCTGGCACAGCCCACCCCTGCAGCGAGGCCCCAGCGAGCCGCCCGCGCGAGGGCTCTGCGGCGGCACCGAAGGGTTAAGGGGCGGCGGGAGGCAGGGACAGGATCCCCATAGCAGATGTCCAGCGCTACAGAAGTAGGTCACCTATCTCGGCCCATCGGGGATTTGAAAATCAACGCCACGGCGCTGGCAGAGCCAAGGAAGGGAGCAAGGAACGAGACGGGTCACAGCAGCCCCAGAAACCCCCGAGCAGAGACCTGCCAGGCCCAGCTAGTAGTTTAGACTATCTGCTAAAAATGAAATATAAATATATATATTTTCTGCATCCACATTTTATACATTCACAGGGAGAGGAAGCGAATGTTTAAAGACAAACAACCAAACAACCAAAAAAACAGACAGAGAAAGAGAATAAAATCCACCTCTGCCCCCACAAGGCTGCAGCCACCAGGAAACTGCCTCTCCTTCAGGCCTGGCTTCTCAGGTAATATGGGATGTTGGACTAGAGACCTTTTTTGCCTTTTTTCAGTATTATGGTTGGATAAGAAACTCTCAGGTGGAGTCCACAAGTCCAAGAGATTAAAATAGTAAGCTATTTTGCAGAGCTCTACTCTGGCTTCAGCATTGCGACCCTGGCACGAGTCTCCCTCTTGCCACATGAGCTTAAAGTTGGGGAATGATATTCCCTTCTCCACGGCCGATTAGAAGGGGAGGAGAGGAAAAGGAGGGAAGGACAAGGATAAACTGAGCATAGTTCACACTGTGCACCCGCTGGGACGAGCCGGGAAGCGCCACGCACACCTCCCTTTCCCTAGGAGGGGGAGCCCCCCAGCCACATCGCTGCCTTGCCTCCCTCCCCGCCGTGCTCGTGTAATCAGCTTAGCTGCTAAAAGCTCCCAGGGGTTTAGGGCTATCCTTAGCCCTGCGCGGGTAGCGGCCCTGCTCACAGCTCGTGACTGTGTACGAGGTGCTGCTCCCTCCCGCCTCGGCACCCAGCGCCCGGAACCCCCCACCTCTCCCAGGAGAACAGGGCCCTGCTGTCGGAGGGGAGCGGCTGGAGGACGGGGGTGTCCAGGGCAAACCACCAGCGCAGCCAGCTGCAGAGCTCACCAGTTCCTCCCGCGCTGCCTGGGTTAGCAGCCCCATCCTTCGCTCCCCGCGGGGGCAGCTTTGTCTCCACAGCGCTCGCAGACTCGCACGCTATCCCGGGGCCCTCACAAAGCTCCTTCTCCTCCCAGCATCCCCCATCACACAGAACTTCCCCAAGAGAAAAACCCAGCACCTTCTGCTTCCCAACGTGCTGCTGATCTATGAGAAATTTCATTTTTCCTTCCCCTGGGCAGC